GGAGCACAAAGATGGACTGTGTGGTGGTCCCCTAGTTGAGAAACACGACTCATGTTTCAGCAGCTCTTTTATAATAAACCTGTTGATCAGCCTCAAGTTTTCCTGAACATCTCTTGCAAATGAACGGCTGCATCACAAACCATTGCATGTTTTTCGGCCAATTATGGCTGTTACTAAGATTAGAAAAGTAGGCCAACCACACTGATATGTAAGATACAGATGTGTTTCATTTTCCATTTTCAGTTTGCTTTATTTTAGAAATATGGTGCTCAAAACTAGTACTTATATTTCCATATTTTATATGCAAGTTTTATTTAGCACGTTTGGTAACACTTTACTTGAGGGGGCACTAATAATGTAGTACTACACTTTTAATGCATTAACTAACCAGTAACTAAGTGTTAGTTACCTGCTGATCTCATGTGCATGTATCATTCATCATGGCGGTTCATGCATTTTATGCAGGTGTTATATTAATTCATGATTTGTTTTTGAGTAGTAACTGAGATACTAAGTTGTTTGTGCCCCCTCAAGTAAAGTGTTACCCACACAATCAACCAAACAGTCAGCATTACATTTACCTATAATATTCCCACACCATACGATTTTGTTTTCATCAGAAGTATTAAAAACTCAGATAAACACCGGTAGTAAATGGATGCTGGATCATATTTTTCATCTCCATCACAGAACTTCCTTTCTTGCTCAAATAAAAAGGCATGTGACCACAGTGTTTCTAGGTTATGTCTCTTCTAATACCTACAGTCTTGAAATGGTACCACTGCTCTCTCGGGCCAGAGGACAAAACACCTTCCTTTCTTCATGTTTATAAGGTCCTCAGTAAACAAACGAATAATGAAAGGGTGTCTGTGGCCAGTACCCTCTGGGCTGTGGCTTTACATCCTTTTGCAGTTTGCATTTTCTGTCGCATCTGTAGGGAATTTCCCTCCAGTTTCCTCCCACCGTGCGCAGACAAGCATTTAAGCACATTGCTGGCTCTAAATTGCACATGCAGTGTCACTGTGTGCCCTTTGGTGGTCTGGTAGCCCACCCAGAATGCCATTCTTAGGGTATGAACCAGGCTGACCATGGGACTCTGGACTGGATTGGATAAGTAATCCAGATTGATGATTGCAAGCTGATTAGGGACTAAGCAGAACCTGTTTAATTTAAAGAGATCAAGTCCACAACAGGGGTATTTCTAGGATTTGACCTTTATTGTGGCTGAGATGCCAGCAACGTTGCCACTTTCAATCTCTATATATCACTTTTTTATTTGTTGTCTTTTTTTGCGCCTGACCGTATAACTCAACGAATCATGGGATCGGATAATAAATCAAACGGTGTGTCAAGGTTACGTTATTTGACTGAAAGATGGCGCTGGTGTTCAACAAAAATGTTCAGCTTGACTATTCACAATTATAATAATAATAATAAACAGTATATAAAAAGCAGAAAGGGTGTCGATGCTGAACAAACACGCGTGTATATATAGTTCTTATTTGCTTTACTTAAGCCAAATTCATGTGCATGTCTTGATGGATGGGGACGCATCGTGGATGTTCTAAAAAACTGATGAACTAGATTGGCGGAAATCTATTTGATGGAAAACAAAAGATTGATCTACAGGACAGATTTAATAATAAATAATTAACAGTTCACAGGCCTGTATTAATAGATTATTTCAGTAGTAGCTCTAGTGCTGCTAACTTTTAATATTGCTAAAGTTTAAGTATCGGATGGCAATTTCCGTATGTTAACCAATACTGTACAGTATATTGTGCATCTTTTCATGTGGTTTCTTCAGTCTTGACAAAGACAATAGGTGATGCAGGCTTAACGCATAATAATAATAATACAAACAACAATGATAGTATTAAAATTTTTATTATTATTATTATTATTATTATTATTATAAACAAACAATCAAATTGCTAAAGAATTGTAAGACAAAATTGATTCTGAGTGGAAGGAAAATGTGACTCATATTCAATGTTGTAGGTTTGGTTTCATCATTGGTAGGGACCAAATCAGTCCCCCCGCTCCCCTAAACACACACGGTACTCCCACCAT